TCTGCAGACTGGCACACGTGGACTGCTCCTATCTCACCATACCTAAATATTGTTTATTATTTTTCTTTAAAATTTCCAAGTGTGACTGCATAGGCTTAAGTTTTTTGTACAGTAAAATCAAACTTCTACTTTGTGAATCCATGTAGCAGGTCAGCACGGGGAGGCTGCTATGCTGTTAATTCACTCCCTTGTTAGTGCACATTAATCCCCCATATAAGCAAGCCCTTACTTAAGCTCATTTCAATGTAAATCATTTCCACAAGATGAGCTTGCATCCGTGACCAAAATCAGAGCATAAATAAGGCTTTAGATACTCTTATATCCACCTAATGCCAATCATACCACCATTTCTGAACTCAATCCATTATTTTCTACCACTACCCACCGAGCAGGATCTGCCCTTGCCCTCCTGTTTTTTAATCACGACTTTTTTTGTCTTCTGCATTGCAATCTTTATTAATCTCACCAGCTGGAAAGCAGAAACAGATGGCTCTAATCATTTGGACATCTTTTTATCACTAAAAATCAAATTACAAAAGCTTTCATAGAATAACTTTCCTTCTCTATTAAGTTTTCCATCTTTATTTTGGGAGAAATAGACCAAGTTTATTTTTATATCTGGTGCCTGCTTCCTTTGCCAGCTAGTTGAGGGACAGCTGTTAATTTTTTTTTTTATCCTCCATTTGCCTGCAGATCTGTTACCCTGCAAGGAAAGCCCTCCAAGCAGCCACGTAGGTGACAGCATTTTGATGTTGTAGTCACATCGCATATAAGGGTATTATATTGTGTTTTATGTGAGTTGTCAGGTCCAACATCTCATAGAGTCAAAACGCAAGCGATTGTAGCATTAATTTAGAAGCAGCCAAACAAAGTGAGTACAGGATAGGCCAGTATGCCAGAAGCTGACCCCGCTGCAGTTACTGGCATCTTCATGGGCTGCTTGTTTATACTTGTATTTTTGAATGAAAAAATCAGGTCATTCTGGGCGGTGTCTTTAAAATCTTCACTTGGGAAACAGATGTGTCTGCAGCAGAGTGCTTGGGATTCTGTCCCAGGACTACAAACAGCGGGAGGTAAAACCAACCTGGTGGAAAAATGGACAGGTGAACACATCTTGCATCAGCCCTTGAAAACTCGCTTCACTCATTACAGATTCAATATATCAGTTGAATAAAATGTAATGCCTTCCTTTATTATCTCTATCTCAAATCACATCATTAAAGAGAAGGAGCCAGGCTGTGGCTTATACAGAACAGGCTTTTCATTCTACATTACGTGGCTGCAATGATACTGAGCACCCATAAATACAATTTATTGAGATAGATGTGCTGAATCCAGAGCAGCTGTGCGTCACCATGGCAGTGTGAAACAGCTGGAGCTGGGGGAGCATCTCACAGCACGGCTTTTAACTTTGTAAGTTTTCCCATTGCGTTGTCAGGGAGTCTAATTTCATTGTTAATTAAATGAAAATGAATAGTCTGAAGTATAACTGCACAGTGTATTGTAGCAGTTAGAGAGCGGTGGCATGAGATGGATACAAAATCCATGCTTTGCTAAGCCTAAAAGGCAGGGCCCTTCCACTAGTATAAACTGATTTTTTGCTGAAACATACCAGCTGTCATTGACCATACATCATTTTGGTGCTAAAAGAGGCTAATATAGATGTAAGCCGGTAAGACACAACAGTGACTATACCTAATGAAACCTGCTTTACTTAGCTGCTCTCCTGGTTACAGAGTCATCAGTAGAGATTTGTAACAGTTATATGGGTTTTCTTGGGTCGGAAAGAGTCACAGCAACTTGGAATATTCTCCTATAGTTTAATTTTATTCTTATTACTTGGGAAAACTAAAAGTACCAAAAAATGCATAGAGTGGTAACAGCTTTTGAGAATATCAGCAAAAACCAGCTTCTTGTTAGAGCTTGTCACCAAGCTTAGAATTTTCTTTCGTATTCCTAGTCCTCATACAGTGAAATATTTACATTATCAAGTATGTAGCTTGTTAATCAAAATTACCAAAAAGGCCAGCTTCTCAGAGGTGGTATTGTAGGAAAAGAGAAAAAGCTTAAATTCTGTGAATATCTTAAAACCATGATGAAATTAACTGTTTGTCTCCAGTTGAGTGTTATTCTGTTCTGAGAAAAAAGGGTCTGTATTAGAAAAGTAGTATTTGTTCAACAGAGTAGATCTTAAATTCTCAATCTTAAGAGTATTTATATCTTCCTTCTTTAAGTTTTCTATTGTGAAATTATGCCAAATTAGTGAAATTAATTATGTGACTAAAATGAGAAATAAATTCTCTTTGATTAGCTTGCAGCTGTTTACTGGTTTAGCCTGTTTTATTTAGAAAATTCCCCTAGTTTAATGAAATAATTTTTATAAAAATTGAGGTTTTCTGTTGAAATATATACACATGTAGATATGCACATTTATCTTCTTAGATCCATATTACAGTGTTATAAATGGTTTTCTGTCTTTATCAGCTTGCCACATTTCATACAGCTGGATGCCTGCCACATCCTGCTGTCTCAGGGTAACACCGACAGAGTGAATAAGTAGCTGTCTTTTCATTCAGATCTTAAAGTTGTTCTTACTCCTATTAACATCGCAGCAAAAGCGGCTGTGGTATTTTATGGACTCCTCTGAAGGCAAGATCCCTTCTCAAAGCCTGTGTAATTTAAACATCCCTCACTTTAGCTTCTCGCTGAGATTGCAGGCTCTGTGTAATCCCTGGTATTTATTGCCTTCCAAATCCTGCTCTGTAAGTGTCAGTAGTTTATATTTCATCCAGTATTGCCAGCAAACTGTAATCTGAGTTTACAAATGTGTCACAGGAGACATTTTTCAGCTTTTGACACAGCTCGCCGCCCGTAACTGAATAAACGAGGCCAAAACATCCAAGTCAGCTTCTCTTCAGCAGAGAGTTAAAGCAAGACACCTCTGGGTGTGAAATTCATAGTCCATTTCTCAAATGAGTTTCTGCAACAGTGAGTTCCCATATGATGAAGTAGAGCATAATGCATATGACAGGCAAGTACTACTCGCCCTGAATTACATCATCTATGTAATATCCCTCTATATAATAACCCTCTATATAGCGGTAAATCCTGAGCATGCCTAACAGATAAGCTGGAAAGGAAGGAAAAAAAGAATCCTTTTCCTTTCTCCCCAGTTTAGCCTCTTTGGTATGCATTGCTAGAAATGAGGCAGGGTTCCAATTTAGCACACACACTCTGCTAAGAAGATTAGGTTTGAGGGAAGAGGAGAGGAGTTTATCGTGGTTACTTTGCATGCCCAGGCAGCCCCGCTTTGAAAGCACGTCGCTGTCTGTGCCTGGTGCCACCGAATGGCCACAACTGTGTTTCCTCGCTGGGCCACCTCCCCATGCGCTGCCTGCTCTTACACTACCTCTCGCACCTTCTTTAAGGGTAAATGCTTCGCAGGATGACATTTTTTCTTGCTGCTTGACTGCTGGGAATGGCAGTGACAGCCCCCTGGTGCAGCCAGCACCAGCAGATGCTCCCTTTCGTTTCTTTCTACTTTTACGGTGACATTATCTTTGAAGCATCACATTGGCAGTAGCCATCCTATTATGGGTAGAGTCTATCAAACCACTGAGACAGCTTGGAAGCAGCTTTCTGCTTTGAAGTAATAGCTTTTGTACCATTTACAACATCACTTCAGCCCCAGGGGCTTTGCTGTCACCGTTTCTGCCCCAGACCTGCTGTTTTGCGGATGCTCAGGGCATGCTATGCATCTCGCGGGCTGCTCCCTATTGCCGAATGCAACCCGCCCCCGGGAGTACCCCAGTGGGATCGTGCAGTTAAGGAGATAATGCCCACAGCTAAAACTGTTGTACAAGGAAGGAGCTGTAATGCGTGCACTTATAGATGAGTGAGGAATAATAGAAGGCAGAAAGGAGAAGAAGCAGAATGGGAGATTAGGACCTAGCAGCAGGGGGGGGAAAAAAGGCTGTTCTCACCATTTTCAAATGGCCCCTTAAATACTACCTGTGGGGTGATAGTTATCATCTTGAACCAGCTCCTCTCCCGCAGGCCAAAATCAGCTTTGTCCCACACCCTGCACATCACTGAGCTGCGCAGCGGTGAAGCGTGGCGATGTGGAGCAGGTCCTCAGCTGAGATGAGGTGCCATACCTTTGACAAAGCTGTCTAGATCTGACCGCATGGGTGAGCGCTCTGCGTGGCTTAGCTGCTTTTGACTTGGTAAATAAGAATCTCCATCAGGCAATTCAGACTCTTCTCATCGATAACGCTAATGAGAGCTGAGTGGATTAGCTGTAGGCTGCCCTGCTGCTGAATTTAGCTGGTGATAAATCTGAATTTGTTTAAAAAAAAAATATGTAGAGAGTTGGTGGGGTTTCATTCATGTGCTGGAGATAAAGGGCAGTGAAAGAGGTGTCAAGAATATTTAATGTATTTGTGCTTACCCAGGCGATGCTACTGATGCTGTTTTACCTCTGGTTTTCTACCTCTTCCATGGGGAATTCCCAGGTTTTGCAGCACTAAGTTAGTGGATAGGGAGCTTGGGGAGACCCTGGGGATTTAATGTTTATAAGTGTGGGATTTGGTATCAGTGCTGCTAATAAAACCAAAGTATGACAGGCTATTCCTTGTTCAACTAAAGGTTGTGTTGTCAGCTAGCTCTGCGCCCGAAAGTGCGGCAGTTACCCAAAGCAAGTTTTATGCTTGCACGTCTTTGCCTTTTTCACATCACCATTGCAACTTCCTTAATATTTTTTCCAGTCTATTTTCCCTGTTGTTGTTTTTTTTACTATAAATACATACTGTTAAAGTAATGAAGGCTACCTGAGGGAAACTTGATTACAGGGGATGTGAAAAGAGCAGAGGGGTGTGTATTTGATTTGCACAAACTGTGGAAGAGAGTGGTCTGCCATCCTTCAACAGGCTGAGCACGTGTCCCCTGTGATAAGTGTCCCGAATGTGCTAAGCTCTTCTTTTCCTCTGTTTTCCATTCAGGGTTTGAACATGGGCACCCAGCCACACACTGTGACCAAGGCAGAGATCCCTGACCATGTTCTTTACGCTGTAGGAACGTGTGTGCTCATTATTGGCTCCATTGGCATCATTGGAAACCTTCTAGTGCTCTACGCATTTTACAGGTACGAAAATTCCTTTTACAGTTAATCTGACTGGCCTTGAGGTTCACATGTGCCTGTGTGCAGACGTTCTGCATTGGTTTCCGCTTGGATTAAATCTCCAAGCAAAGGCTTATGGCATCAAATGGGGGGAAGGCAACACACACCCACCCCTCCACACCACTGATAACCTCAGTGTAAATTCTTCATGGTTTAGGGAACCAAAGAAAATGAGAAAACAAATACAGTGTTCTATTAACAATTCTACTGAAGTTTAAAGAAGAGTTTAATACTTTTAATGATAGAAATAGCAGACTTCTTCACTCACTCAGTAGAATTTGCAGAAATACTTGACAAAAACTGACACTCTTCCCAGCAGCCCAGATGTTCTGGTAGAACCAAGAAAGCAATGCGCTACATGAAATGAGCTTGTGCCATCAGTGTATTCCGTGCTTCGGGCAGATCATAGGATTTCTGTCAGTTTGTGTGCTCTCTTGGCTTCTGACAGTGTAATAGACAGCCAAAGCTACTGCAGCCAGAGTACGCAAAAATCTCATGGAAGAAATAAATAGCTGCCTTCTGTCCCACACTGTGATACTGGATTTCAAAATCCTCCTCACTCGCTGCTTGCTGTCATGCATGTTGATGCAGAGGGGGCTTACAATGCCAGAAACACCAGTGGGGTTATGAACCAAGCGTTAGTTTCCTATTCTTAAATGTTTAAGACAAATTAGTTTAGTTATTTTGAATAACTGGCTTTTAATATGAGATAAAGGAGAAATTGAATTCCCTGCAATTGTAGATACCTTCATGATTTTTGAAATGCAGCACAAGCTCTCCATTTTTCTTGAAACTTGTTTGTTTTAGCTGGTGTAATAAGAGCATTCAGTTGTCAAAGTAGGAAAATCTCCACAGGCAGACAAGCACCTGTGAAGGTGTGAACTCTGCACCCTCTCTCACTCAGTTGTTGCAGGCAGTTATGAGACCCAAGATTTTGTTAGAATTGCAGAAGCATTGAGATGGCTTTCTCAATTTCTTTTTCGGTATTTCTTTATCAGCATGAGGAAAGAAATTCATGTTAGCTGCGAGTACTGGTATTTTAAAGCACATCGGAGAGGCTTCAGTTGTTCAACTTTCTACACTGAAGGAGGCATTTGGGGGGAAAAGAAACAATTATTTCAAACCATTTAGAATTACTGCATGCAGGTTCCAAGAACAAAGCTATTTATAAAATCCCCCTTCCTCCCTATGTCTCACAGAGTGTGACAAGTCACTTCTTTCTGTATTATATGTACCTGACACTGTAAAATGTCCTGAATTCAAACTCTAGGTATCAAAGCTCTTTACTTTGCCATGCAACCAATACAGTGGTTCGCACTGAGGGACTACTAGTTCAGCATTACACCTTCTCAATAGATCCCTCGAGAGTGCCAGTTTTAAGGTAGATTTGGGTGAACTGAACTCAAAAATTAATTTAACTTTCGTAGTGGGACATAATATTTGATCAGAGCAACAAGGGCATACTCAACCAAAGAACCCCAAGTAAAAGTGAGAGGTTCTTTATCACGTTACCAGTACCTCTAGTCCTCTTAGCCAGAGCCAAGAGTAATCTTGAATACCAGCTGGAAGTTTCCTAGGAGGTTGTAACTCCAGATATCCCTAAGAAGTGAGACTACGTGAGCTGATGAGAAATGGGGAAAAAACCTGGAACTGATGTTTGTTTTCTTTGGATAAACTTTGCTTGCAGACTGGCTGCTGCTTTCAAGCTCCTTGTTGCAGTGTTTAATGTTGCCTGTTCATCTGCAGCTGAGTGTTTTTGTTATCTCTTATGAGATGTGTATGAACAGAAGTTTTGTTGGTTTGTGGTTTGGTTTTTTTTTTTTTTTCAAATCCTTGTGCATGCTCTGCTTGTGCTCTAGCACTTTGCAAAGGGTCATTGAGTTAGTGGTAATGTGGCGACTTTTCAGGTCAGCAGCTTTTAAAAATTCACCAAAAGAGGGTCCTTTGGCTCTGTAACCTGCTTCAGATCCTGGTCTTGTGCAGTGCAGGACATGCTCAGTGTTGCTGCTCTTATAGGGAACTGCTCTTCTCCTGAATAAATCCGTATTTTTCAAGACAGCTAGAATTTTCCTCAGTTTGAATAGGAAACAATCCATTTTATCCCCCCTGCTATTGTCAGTCATCGTTTTGAAACGACTGTATCTGTAGCTGCAGTAATTGACTGATGACTAGCAATTGATTGACTGTAAGTAACCACCGATTCCAACCTGGATTGTATTTGTTTATGCTAGTAAGCAAAGTTATAAAGTTAACTGTTCACTTTGCCTGTTTAAAATTGCATATTTCTCATGTTTTTAAGCAACAAGAAGCTGAGGACACCCCAAAACTACTTTATCATTAATTTGGCTGTGAGCGACTTTCTGATGTCGGCTTCTCAGGCACCCGTGTGCTTTGTCAACAGCTTGCACAGAGAGTGGATACTTGGAGATATAGGTACTTTTCAATGCTAATTCATACCTCACTAGCTCTACACTGTCTGCAGCCTATTTTAGCCATAACAATCTTGGCTTATGCTGTGGAGACAGCAGCACAAAACTTTTGACCGACAACCCAGGTTCTTGACATCATCAGTTAGCATGATGGCACATGTTTTGTGTTATAGGTTTGATTCTTTCATCTTACTTATTTTGGAAAGAAAGGAGTCAACATCAACATGTAATCATGTTACCCTTTAGCTTGTAAGGGCAGGTGCTATGGCTGAAGATGGGTAGAAAAGTTTTATTAAGTCATAATTAGTATTAGTTTAAGAGGGAGTTAATATTTTTACTTAGAAATGTATGTTGATATCCATTAGCATACTTCTAGGAATCTCACATTTAATTAAGAGATTTAAATAATGATAGTCAGTTGAGGACTCTCTGCAAATTTAAGATTCTTTCTTTCCAACAGTAAGAAAGAAAAGGTGATGCATGCTCAAATTATAGCTGAAATGTGAGTATAGCAAGTTCCTCAGAAGGCTTGATGCTCTGCTTAGTACTGCTCATCACATCATTGGGTGAAAATTTGCACCAAGTAGTGGTCATGTATTGGTGGAGCAAGCCCAGAGACCATGTAATATTTAGCAGCACAGAAGGGGCTCTTCTTCAGTTTGAGGATGTCTTTAGTCTTGCTCATCCCCTTAGATAAAATCAGTGTAAATTATCATGCTGCCACAAATGAAGCAATTGATGTGGGTTGAATGGGATTTGGTGCTTAATTGCAGGTTACTTATAAAGAAGTAGTCTGCTTTAAGGTTGCATCTGGTATTTCGACTGCCTCCCATTCCCGGTGGGCTGTTGTCTATAACCACACAGGGTGATGCAAGATCTCAAAAAAATGAACGATCATTCAACACAGGTTTCTGAATCAAATTAGGGACAGTGTAACTCTACAAGTTTTCATCTGATAGCTCAATGCCTGAATGCAAAGAGGGGAAAAAAACCTGTTTCATGTAAAAACTCTCACTTTTTTTAAAAGTGCTGCTATTAAATATAAAAGCTGGAGCTGTGTTTTACAGCTGGTCTTTTAGCCATCAAATTTAAACCACATATACATTGTTAAGCTACATAAACCAAAGTCATTTTTTGAAACATCCATCTGTCATTAGCAGACAGACGTCTGCTGCAGCCTGTTAAGATCAATATATTGGGCAACAGTCCAGGAAAATGTAATTTTAACTAGATTGGATTTTCTTTGAGGCAGTTTTCCATTGACAAAAGGTTCCCAGTTGCAACCCGCAGTGGAGAGTCGGACTGTTAAATACATACGTTTATATTTTATTAATATTGGTGTTTTTTCTAATAAACACTTAATGATTATGAAATTGTGAGGCTAAGAAAATTCTTCTAATGCGAGAGAAGTCCTGAGCCAGGAAAAAATGGGAGGTTTGTCATGTCAGGCTCTGAGAGAAAACATGCGTCTGCTTTAAGAAAATCCCTGACATCATTGCCATTTTCTGCTTCAGGCTGTGACTTGTACGCTTTCTGTGGGGCAATCTTTGGAATAACCTCAATGATGACTTTATTAGCTATTTCTGTTGACCGCTACCTTGTGATCACTAAGCCCCTGCGATCCATACAGTGGACTTCAAAGAAACGCACCATGCAGATCATCGCTGCTGTGTGGCTGTACTCGCTGGGATGGAGCGTGGCTCCGCTCCTCGGGTGGAGTATGTTGTCTGCTCTCTATCTCTTCTAGTGTTCCCTACGAGGTCTGTTTTAGCCTTGGTCAGGGTATGAAAAAATGAGACTTTTGATAAGTTCTCTGGTGGGTGCTTAGCCACCACCTGATGGTTTGCTGTCACACCGTGTATCTGCACCTATTGCAGTAGAGATACCCCCCTACCCCCAGGTCGTATTCAAGCAGAACAAATTGCAGATGGAGTATTAGGCGTATCTCGGAGTCTGGCAGTCAGGACCTCCTCTCCACGTATAACATGGCATGCGTAGCTCTTGAAGACTATGTATACAGTATGGGGGTTTTTTAATTGTTTCAGTTGTTGGATCAGCAACTGCGCAAGCTTTGGGTGTATGTGTAAATAACATATTCCGTGTATTTCATAGGTTCCTATGTGCCTGAGGGCTTGATGATATCCTGTACATGGGACTATGTAACCTACTCTCCTGCAAACAGAAGTTACACCATGATTTTATGTTGCTGCGTGTTTTTTATTCCCCTGATAATAATATTCCATTGCTATTTATTTATGTTCCTGGCCATAAGACGTACTGGCAGGTAAGCAACGTAGCTGAAATAAGTAAATCTCCCTTTTCTTGTATTAGATTTTCTCAATTTCTTCAGCTGCAGAAAAATCTGAATCAAAATTCATCTAAATTGAAATTGGAAATAAAGTAGCAGATCATTAACAGCTGTAACTGGAGAAATATTTTTGCCAGTGTAAAAACTGGAATTGAATGTATGTATTTTGGAGCAGGGAAAGAAGTCTCTGGTGGTTTTAATCTTAGCCCAGAGTGTGGTAATTAATCGTATATTGGATAACTTGAGAGTTTGGATTATTTGTATTTCAGATTTGCAATACAAGAAACATGGTCCCTGTGCATTCCAGCACAGTTTTCAGCCCCAAGGATTGATAAATAGCATGTAGCAATGGGGGCATCATCTGCCTTTGAGCTGCTCTGTAAACATAACGGTCCTCATATTTTTTGACAGTTTTATTTAAGGCAGGCATCCCAGAAAACCGTGTGGTTCACTCAAGCATCATAACTGCACACACATAATCTGGCTACGCTTGTTAGGACACTTTTTTTTTCCCCCCAAATTCTTGGTCTACATTTGAAATAAAAAATCAGCAGAGTGTTAGATCTGTAAAGTAACTTCATTCTGTCAGCTATTTTTCTCCTAACGAGAACATGACTTATCTTTGGTCTGATCCAACACCAGCTGAAGTTGTGAGTCCTTCCTGCTGCTCGCAGTGTCATCAGCTCCGATGGCTTTTCTCTGCACCTATCTGCAGGTACTTGTTGAAGTCATCTGGCTTCACAAGGCTAAATTCCATTCTTACAAGCATGTTCAGCTGTATGCCTAAATTGAAGTTCTTACTGAGCTCTACTTTTGGCCTCGGTCTTGGTTTTTACTATGCTTTGTGCATGCATATTTGATACCAAGCAAAGGAGCAAAGAATGCATCCTTAAAACAATGGTGCCCTGTACACCCGTGAAGCACAGCGGCAACAAGATTTTTCTATGCCTTTTACGCACTAATACAGTAAACTCACTTTATGGGTATATTCACAGTGCACCAGGAAACAGCTTGTTACCCTGCTGGCTGGTAATTACTGCCTTCAGCCTGAAATATATCTTCATTTAACAACACTGATATGTAAAAATTATTATTTCTATGCTAAACTATGTAAAATGCTAAACCATATAAAGTCTTTCTTATTTTTTAGTAAAGTGTGAGGTGTTTGTCTGATGTGAGAAGATAATTACATGGGACATTTTTTGGCAAAAATATTAGGACTGCCTGTCGTACTCCCCCCTGAAAATACTCTTCTCCAGTGAATAAATCTGCAGGGAAGTAAAAATGTCCCCGTAAGTATTTGGGGCCAGGTTCCTCAGGTAATCGGGGTATTCCAGCACATGTTGCCTTGTAAGCTGGAATTTCTGCAAGCTGTTCCCCCCTTGAAAAGGAAAAGCCATCAGATTTGATTTTGCATCCAGCTGTGCCTTTGCTTGCTCCACCTCCGAGAGCAATGAAGGGCAAGGGGTACCAATTTCTTCACCCTCCCAACCTGAAACCCTCCTTGTGTCAGGATAAGGAGATGGCGATTCCATCCTGTAGTCTCAGGGGTTCTTCCGGCACAGTCCCACATGCGGTCGAAGCTCAGACAAAACACCTGGGACAATTTTACTACATTAATTGCCTCCCAGATTTTTAAATATCAGAAGACAGAAGAATAGTTAGAGCAGGGAAGGACGAAATCTGCTTCATTTTGCATATTGCTGAGAATGCATTAGAGATGTTGCACCTTGCTTTTTCATCCTCCTGCTGACGTATCTGTGTTTTTTTCCCCCCTCACAGAGATGTTGAAAAGCTAGGATCCTGCAGCCGGAAATCCTACCTCTCTCAGTCCGTAAAGAATGAATGGAAACTGGCAAAAATTGCTTTTGTGGTCATCATTGTGTTTGTCCTGTCCTGGTCTCCATATGCTTGTGTCACCTTGATTGCCTGGGCAGGGTAAGTGGAAACATAATCCAATGAGCATGGGTTATTCTGAAGTATGATTAGTGCTGTCACCCACAAGAAATAGATCTCCCTTTGGAACAGGTTTTAAATAGTTATTACATTAGAGTGATATTGCTTTTTTCACTATATCCTTCTGGATAAAGCCAGGAAAGGGGTTGTCTATGTATTTTAAAACTGTTATCACTTTTTATCTACATTTTTGGTACACATTGTTTCCTCTCCCCCATGAATTTGAATGAATTGGAGGAGTTACCTCTTTTCTCTCCTAGTACCTGTTCTCTCAAAAGGTTTCCACCATACACTGCTGCCTCTGACAGAGGGCAGAAAAGAGGTTAAATTCCCAGATCTTCACCCCTAAGCTCCCATCTTCCTCCAATTGCTCTCTGCTCCAAAGGGACCTGTTGTCTTGTCAGTGCATGTTTTTGATTTCAAGGTCAGGTTGGACGGGGCTCTGAGCAACCTCATCTAGTGAAAGATGTCCCTGCTCATGGCAGGGGGGTTGCACTAGATGATCTTTAAAGGTGCCTTCTGACCCAAACCATTTTGTGAGTCTATGATATTGATTGTGATTATCCCGTGCCGACACTGATCACATGTGACTGACTGTGGGAGCTTAAAGTCAAGAGGAGAATATTGCTTTCAAATCACTTCTAGTCCTCTCTTCCTTCTGCAGTGTTTGCAACTGAGTCATTGACACCCATTACTGGGCAGCACGGTTGCTGCTGCTGAAAGATTTTTAGGTTTGATTCTGGTTTCTTTTTTATCACCATTCCCTTTTCCCAGATGGTCACAATGGGGGTTGTTTGGTTTGGGGATTTTTTTATTTTTTTTTTTTTTTTTTTTGCCTAGTGCAGAAACAGAGAAGGTGATTCTCTGTGTTCCTGGTCATCCTCAAATAGATAACTAATTACTTGCATGTCCTTCATCTTCTCCAAATGAATGAAACCAAGTACACGCTGTCAAATGCAAGCCTTTCATCCGAGCAAAGAATGCATTTAAATTAATTAATGCTTCAGGGGTATTTCTTATCAAGAGATCACAGCACAAAAACAGTCAAAAAGAGTAATATGTTTTAGTAATTTAGTATTAATCCATGGCATAGCTGTGTGAGTAATGTTTTTGCTTTCTTTTAGTCGAGGCAACACCCTAACACCATATTCCAAATCTGTGCCAGCAGTTATTGCCAAAGCTTCTGCAGTCTACAACCCCATCATATATGCAATAATTCACCCAAGATACAGGTACAGTAAACTTATAGGTATGTGTATAACTGTACATGCAAATGTGTTTTTTACAATGAACGAGCTACCCCCATTACCCTCAGCCTTGCTCCATGCAATGCGTGCTCCCGCCTTGACCACCCCATGATGGGATCCAGGTGGTCAGACCCTGCACCTTTTCCACCTGTTACAGGACAGCCCAAACTGCACGGGGAGCTCCAGACGTGGCCTGAGAGGTGGCCAACAGAGGGCAACAGTCCGTCCCTTCACCTTACTTCCCCCTCACAACCCTGCTCTCTCCTGTGGATCTGTACGACACCGCAACTGATGGGAGGAGGTGATGCTCAGGGTCATCTTTTGCCGTATCAGGGAGGGCTGCTAAAGAGCACTCTCCGCAGAATAGGTCCCAACCAGTGAGGCTCAGAAATCGCATCATCACCAATTTAAGAAGCTATATATACCTATATTCAAGGTTTGGTTTTCTGAAGTGCTTAAGTTATTCTCTTTACACCAACATCAGTACTAATGTAAACAAGTTGCTGGTCTTTGGGAGAAGCTCTGTAAGAAGCAAACAGCATTTTCATAGAAGTTCTGTGCAAAGTGAGAGCTGTAGGAAGCCGGTAATCCAGACAGAGCTCCCTGCAAATGAGAAATATTTCCAAATATACTGAAAATACTGCTTTTTTTATTAGTAGGCTCACTAACTTTGGTCAACAAGTATTTGCCTTCAAAAAATAAAGCAGATGTTTCTGAAATACTCTACTTTTGTGGGAGGAAGTCTCTTCTGAAGGCTCAGTTTTCATATTTGTTTCATTTAGTTGTCTCGGGTAAAAGCTTTTCTGTTCTTTCCCTTTTTCAAAAATATTAGCTTTGACTTAAAAAAGTTTTACACTACACTAATGTGGTTCACTGGGCAAATGTGATGTTCACTTCTCTGAAACACTTCAATATTTTCTTATAGACATGAAATATTTCGAACCTGTGCCTTCATAAGCAAATTATTCTACATTTTCATTCTACTTATTATTACAGATATCAATTACTGTACACTGTAAAACAGAAAACTGTGCCAACCAGCACAATTTCACTAACAAATACTCAAACACTCTCCAGTCTCAATAAGCTGCATGGTTAGCCAACTTTTCTTGCCTTTTTATTTCCTTCTCAATTCCCTCACATCCAGTGAATGAGTTTCTGAGCTGAAAGGTATTAATTCTACTTTTTATCCAGGCCTTCTGACTGCAAAAAGATAAGGGACAGAGAGTATAAAGATAACTTGTTCCCACGGAGTAGATTATTAGAAAGGTAACAATGCATTGTAAAAAAAAAATTCCGTACTGTTGCTCTGATGGGAAACCTACAAGATTATGTGAATAGAATGATAATTTAATATACCATAAAAGACACCCCTCCAAAGAACCAGAAACCTTTCCCTTCACAGAAGAAGTTCCATTATAATCTCATTTAATAACTCCTTTAGAGCATCCCAGTTGGTCTCCAGAGACCAGCTCAGCCTTCCCCAACATTTAGGGAAAGCATGAGAAGGAAGCACCTTGCATTTCAAAAAGGTCACCTGCTCTTTGAGCTAGCTAGGACCTGGAGGCATGCATAGTATGGACATATCAAAAATGATTGTATCTTCAGTCATGTGGTCCTAAAAGGAGGTACTTTAGCAAGGAAATAAACTGGCATGGTGTTCTGCTGAATGGTTTCAAACAAGAACAAACTTACCCTGCACTTCCCAGACACTATACAAGCTAAAACTACTTTTTTGAAGTCATCATTTCATTTAGAAATGTCCTCCCAGCTTCAACTGAGAAATGTGTTCAAGTACTGGCAAAGTCAGTCACTTCTATTAAAACTTCTAAATATTTGGCTTCCGAAAGACCAGCAAAAGTAGATTTTTGGGGGTTTGTTTTGGGGATTTTGTTTGTTTGTTTAATGTAAGGAAAGGAATACAACTCCATTGTGTTCTCAGCCCTATCTCCAGCATCAGATGAGCTCCTAAATATCTCTTTTCACCTTTACGAACTCACAGCAGTGTACATGGAAGAAGCTATACCTCACATAAAGATATAGCTCAGAGCTTGCCATTTCCTCCCGTAGCTGTACGTAATGTGGTTCTGAAACACTGGCAGTGAAAAATGCTTTATTATATAAGAGGAGAAATTCTTGTAAAAGAACTGTTAGTCGGCATATCTCTAGATTTTTCCGCAAGTCTTTCAAAGCGTGCTTACCACAAAGGGATGCTGTGCCAAAAGTTCAGACGAAACACGGGGGTGCCGTGGTGGTGAATGTATAAACGCCACTAGATGGCAGGGTTAGTCGTTGGTATGAGGTTCGTCTCGCCCACGAAGAGGCAAAGCTGCTAGGTTCTATTGCCTGAAAACTAGGATTTGGGAGCTGGAAAGAGTTCATTGTTTTGAATGTCTGATGAGTGAAGGTGTGGTTGTAAGAACAGTTAAAGCTTCCCAGAAGGCTGGTGGAAATATACCCAGAAATGGTGAAAACATATATTTTGTTTGAAAATGTCTGATCGTAACTAAAACCACTTGCGTCCTCCAAAAGCCTGAATCCATCTTAGTTTTTGAAGGTTGTAGAGGATTTTAGTTTATAATAAGAGAATGACTACTCTCTAATGGCTTGCAGAAGTTCAATGAGCAGATTTGCATGGCTGGCTGACACATTATGAATCTGGTATTTTTTTCTGACCCAAAGCTATTGTGTTCAGTGATTCCTTATATTATTTTTGCAAGGTCAAGAGAGTGTTTTCAAAGCAGATACTATATAGTGAACTGCTTCAATCAGTGTTTTTCCTGCCAGCATTGGCTTTTCCAAGTAAGACTGTATTAAGAAAAAGGCTGGAGTCCACAACAAGATTTCAGAGACTCTCTTAAAATATGAGGGGTGGGTGGGGTGTCATGCTTCTTAATTTGTATTTCTAGACATATCAACAGGAGAAGTGTTTGTGCAGTTGTTTTGAAGACATTTTATAGACTTGGTAGTCATCCAGTCAGGAAAAGAAGTAATGTTGGGTCCCTCGTGATGAATCAAGCATGCAGTTTTGAAACTGAAAAAGCAGCTACAGTACACCAACAAGTCAGGGGGTGAAAATACGTTGGCAGGACCAATTTTGCTTGAACAGTGAATATGTATGTAAAGGTCAGGGTTTCTGGATAATTTCCATATCTTGTAATAACTCACATTATGTCTGAAAAGTCATTTATCCAATGATGGATAAATGGGCCAGTCTGTTCAACCCAAAACTTACTGGTTTGGGGGGGATGAATTGCCATTTTGTATCGGAACTACTGAACTAGGTTACATCTAAGTTCTTTTCCAAACCTTTCTAGAAAGAGGCACCTAGAAATCAGGCTCTAAAGAGTTCAGATGCAGCTCAAACTGATGATGCAACGCTACCAAAGCAAGTTGCTTTTTTGCACAGAGAATTGCTGTTGCTGCATCTTAACACCCCAAAAAATCAAACAAGTCTTTTTGTGAGGTTTCCTTACCTTAAGCAGTGGAAAAAAGTGCATTACAGTGAATGTAACTGAAAATGTAACAGTGACCTTTGTGCTAGCATTTGGCTTTTAAGAACTGGTCTGAGAGGTTAATTGTTATACACCCCCCTGCCCACCCACTCCCCACCAGTATGAAGGAGAAACGCACTTCTCTCCCTGATAGGTATCACTGGAAGTAACAAATGTGAGTAAGTAAGGAAATGTATGCGAAGTTTTAATTCATGAAATGCTGTTTTGTGGGGGAAGAAAGTTTTCACTACTTTAACAACCTGTACATGAGCTGTAGAGAGCATCGCTTGGCTGTTGTTAGAGTTATTGCAGAAAGCTCCTTAGATATTTGGAAGTTTTAGGTTTTATAATCACTTGTTCATAGCAAATGGGGAAATTCTGCACCTCCATGTTTCTAAGTTGCTCCCAAGTGAAGCACAATTTTACAAAAATGGTTTGTTCAAAACTGCTCCATCATAAATGACTGAATAATCATAAACAATTTTGATTTGCAATATTTCTCAAGAAGTTGTTTGCAATTACTACATATTTGACTTTGTGTGACTCTCATGTTAGAGGATTATAAAAATGTCATCAAATAAGCACCTTAGGTTTATACCTATTTTGTATTTCACATGTACATTATTAAAACGCCCTTCAAAATCCATACTTTCATCTCAGCCCAGAAAATGTCCCTCAACAGTCCTACCAAATATTAATAAAATTGAAACTCTGGTCCCTCAAGACACCAAAAATGTTCTTATGTTGTCCTTGAAATTTCACCATCAGACATACCTTTCCTGAACCTCCAGTGTGAGGAGGTCTCTGCATGAAATCCCAGTTAATAAACAGGATGCTATGTTTTACACCAATTTGAAGTTATTGAATAGTTTACAGCTCCAGGTAGTCTGTGACAGACATCAAAAGCTACGTCTATGTCTGGGGAGGTGGTTCAGCTTTTCAGCTGGGGAAAAAAGCTGGCAGCTGCTTTTTCAGCACCAGCCTGAGGTCTTCAACATGAAAATTAACTTATGGGGGCTTGGCATTTTCTCGTGTCCTGTAAACCCTTGCTGTTTGCTCAAAACTTTTTATTTTCTGCACAACATTAGCTCTTTTTTTTTTATCCAGCACCATATGGGCAGCCTCCTGCACCCCCAAGCATCTTGGTGGGGCTCTGCCAGCTCACTGACAGGCATCTTGGCAGAATCAGGAATGATGGTGTGGGCAGAAAGCTTTCTTCAGTCCTTGTCTCCACTGTAGGCACAGAGCTGCTTGTTCAGTTGCCTTTGAAGTTAGAGAGGAAAGACATACAGAAGTCTGGTATACTGAGAGTGGTGGTGATGCCAAATATTGGAGTTTGGTGGTGGTTGTGAGGTTGGTTTCTTTTTTTTTTTTTTTTGGATTGACAAACTAGTGATCTCATCTTGTGATCTCTGAGACTTCAACATGTGTGGTCTTTTCTGAGAATAGAAATGATGATTTAAAATGTACTAGTTATTCAACAAAACTGGTAATTACAGAAGGAAAGATTTTACAATATACATCCGCTTGACTTGCATCTCAGTGTAAAGTTAATATACTAACATCCTCCATTGAACCATAAGTCCCACATATCAGTTGTTTTCTATGTGCCTTGTTGCTGCCTTGCTTCTTGACTTATTCATTTAGCTTTATGCCAGTATTAGCTTCATCTGGCTGAATGGGCTGAAATAATGGATGGCACTGGGGAGGTGTTATACCAAATGCATCACCCTGCCAGTCCTCGGTGGCAACAAGGAGCAAGGCCAACTGGCGTCGTGCAGGGGAGGCTCTTGGGGTCTTCTGCTCCATGCAGGGGCAGGGCTGGGGCCAGGAAGAATAGACTCATACAACCATTACTAGATTATTATTTAATGAATTAGGCAGGTTTTAAGTTCTTTGGGGCCTAGATCATCCTTCTCCTCTGTGCTTGTACAGAGTGTTAATTCCTGATAGGAATTTACAGGAGCTGCCACGATACAAATAAACAATATCTGATTCTTCTGGCCCTCTCCCCCTTCCTTTTTTCTATTCGTCCTGTGTCTTTGCACAGGAAAGACCTTCATACCAGCTAACCTGAAAGTTTTCTGGGTTAACCTTTCATGCTCTTCAAGATATTTTCAATTCTTACTACTTATCCATGCAGCTCTTCCATGCGTGTTTTGATTCGAGGCCCAGAAGCCACCTGCTATTTTCCTTTCAGCCTGTTGAGTAGTTTCCACTAGATATACTATGTTGTTTCCATGTAGTCTTTAAGACCTCCTCAATCAAAACAGAAGCCGTGCTGAGGTTATGGAAACGGTACTTTCACCACATGATTTTCAAAGCTGCATCGTCAATGTGCCATTTGTGTTTTTTTCTTCTCCCATTTTCCTTCAGAAAAACCATCCACAATGCTGTTCCCTGCTTGAGGTTCCTAATACGAGTATCGAATAACGACCTCCTGAGAGGCTCCATAAATGAATCATCATTCAGGACCTCTCTCTCCAGCCATCACTCTCTTGCTGGCAGGACCAAAAGCACTTGTGTTTCATCAGTTTCCACTGGAGAAGCTGTAAGTCCTTTATTGTTTCCATGAAGGAAAGTGAGTATAATGTTTCCCTGACTCACAAAATTAGTGACTCTATAAATACACATTCAAAACTAGAGAATGGAAAAGGGGGGGTAGCTAAATTTTTTGGGTCGTATGAGGTCATTTCTTCAAAACCTTTCTGGGAGTTCATGCATGATGATTTCTGATCAGAAAAAGCATCCATCCCAGTTCTTCTGCATGACTCAGACACTTAATGGGACCATGGATGTTTGGGTTAAGTCTTTAATGTGAGTTAAAAAGAGCCATTGTCAGGTACTCTCCATGTCACCAACCCTTTGCTACATAATTCAGTATCTGGTGAGCCTGGAGGACAGGAAAACCATCTCCATCTGAAGTTTTCTAACCTATCCAATAGCCATTTTATTGTCTTAAAGGAAGCCCATTTTCTGTAGACAGGAAACTTTTCTATTTGTTTCCCTGGGTTTTAACCGTGAGGAGTGGAAGATTCCTGTGCCTGGAGTTAGGCGGGGTGTTTTGTAAGCAGCGTGCCCCAACTCTCAGTAAGGCTAGTGGTCTGGCTGAAGCGTAATGTGAAGAAGCAGTTGCCTATAGCATGGAGGCTTTTCCTAGGAAATACTCACAGGTTAGAAACTCAGGATGTGTAACCTGTTGGTTTGGGTTGCATTAGGGGGAAAAAAGGCAGAGTGAGCCCTTTCTCTCCTTCCCAACCAAGCAGAATTAAACAGAAACCAGGTCTCATAGCAGTAGGACTGAGGGAGTTAGAAATAAAAAGATCCCTTGGGGTTCTTCACAGCCCCTCTCGGCATGACCTCGCCTGCCTCCGTAAGTCACAAGAAGCCGGCCTTGCCCGCAGAGGTGCTGGGAAGGCAGCTCCCAGGGGGAGGGATGGCAGCCGCAGCAGGGGCTGGGCTGGGGCTGGCCCTCCCAGGGACCCGCGCTGCTCCACGCTCAGCTCGGGCATAAGACACCTCCCAGAGTGATGGCTGCAGTCAGTAACCTTTCACGAAGGCATAAATCACCAAGATGGGCTGAGTGGCAAACTCTTGGCTCTCCCCTTGAGCCAGGTGGCAGCGGTCTGAGCAAGGATGGGGCTCGGTTATTTGTGTGCTGTAACCTGCATGCTGCTGCTTTCAGGGTGCTGTTGCTGAGAGTCAGGCCGTGGAGCTACTTTTCAGTGAAATTGTAACTATGTTGAGTATTTTTGGGAAGGCTGGGCTCCTTGATTTGGAAACGAACCTAGGACCACCAGGAAAACCAGCATGAACAGTGCACCATCCTTGAACAAGATAATGTTGTATTGAATTTTCTGCCTGAGAATGAAAGTTGTTCCTTTCAGGTAACAGCACTAGGGAGATTTCTGAACTCTTTCATGGCAGACAGACAGTAAAGCAAACACACCTGAGCAAAAAATGCACTGTTCACTGGGAATCCAAGCAGTCCCAGCCAATGCTAGCACTGTGCCTGGGGTGTTGACAGGAAATTCGGGCCTTCTGGCTGTGAAATCAAAAAACAGAACAAAAAAAAACCACTTTAAGTGCCTGAGGGAAAGGCTCACTGCCTGAGCCCTAATGAAACTAAATCTATCCCATTACAAAAGACAGGTTACTTTGCAGTCTATGCTGCTGCCTCTCTTGCACATTAACCATACAGCCGCATCAGGCAGACTTCCAGTTAAAATGACTAATTGCGTGTTACTGGGTAGCCTCAGCTATACAGCTTGTGAAGTTGTGGACTGTTTGGGGACAAGGATACTCTTCCACTTTGTGACTGTATATGATGTATCCCAGCAGCATTCCCAGCTATCACTAAACAGCCTACAGGTTACTATATTACAGACAAGTAATAATGATGATAATCGAAGATCATGAAATCACTTAAATGGGGCATGTTTTGTCATTCAATATTATCAAGTGTTTAAATACCATGCAATGGACAAGCTACTTCTCGCAAGAGACCTGGTCTAGAAGCGACAAGCTTTTTCAATAGTGTTTCATAAAATGTCTACCATAAAATTTCTTTTAAATTAAAACAATAAATAGAAAAGTGAAAGGCCTCTCTTAGCCTGGGCAAAGCCTTTTTTAGAGTACTGTTGTTCAGATTTGAGCCCAAATGAGTTTGAATTATGTGATGGGACTCTTGTGGAGTGTGACACCACTGTACCACACCACACAGCACAAGGATCCCCAAATTTGCTTGCCTAGGCTCTCATAGTCTTCAGGGTGTGGGGAGCACTTTCATGTTTTTCTGTTTGTTGCTATATTAGGGCAAAAGACCTTAATGAGATAGAAAAAAAAGAGTGACTTACTTTTTATGGGCTATGAAATTTAGTCTCTTTTTTCTTGGCTCTTGAACATATAAATAAATGCGTAAGTACTTCTGTTACAATGTAAATGAAAATGAGATAATCTATCCTGCTGATTTAACTCCATTCACAGACCACTGATTACACAATGATGCATGAGAATACCAACTGTGATGATTTCATACACTGTAAAATACCCAGATTATCCTTGCAATATGAGGTTGGTATATGCAACATGCCAATACCCCATCGTAAAAAAAAAAAAAAGAGTGTATTTTGCTTGGGATTGCTTAACAGCTTGAGCAAACAGAGCACCCACACATATCTCTATCCCCCTTGAAATCACGGGGACTACTTGTCTGCTTACACTTGTGCTTCATTCACTGGTTGTAGATAGCACGTGTGGCGACATGGAAATGTGTTGACATAGTTTAAAACAGGGAGGCTCCTCATTTACTTATTTCCAACCTTTTTTGCCCCTTTTACCTTTTAATTTTCCTTGCCTTAAAGTTTATTCCTAAATTCTGTCCCCATTAATCCTTTGTTTGATGTCAAATTAGGTAATTTCTGCGGGATCACCCATCCTGACCCAAAAAACTTTCTGTTCTTCACTGTCGGTCACTACTTGGTTTTGGTTCACTGGGGTTAGCAGGTTGTTGTGTGTGTTTGGTTGGGGTTGCTGTTTAAAGAGACGGGATAATGTGGATAAGAGGCTTCAGCCTTTGGCACAACTTTGGCTCAGGAATCTCCAATAAAACATCTGCTGTTAGCTATGCGCAGCACCGTGTTGGGCCGAGTTGACACAGCCAAAGGTAATTGTTCTTGGGGCAACTGACAGCTCAGTGCAGCTGTACAGATTTTAGCTGAAACAGCAGCTGCTGAAATAAAAGCTAAGCTCAATGACTCTCGCATGACAGCAGCACCGAGTGAAATTTTGGAATGCTCCAATAAAGTATTGACAGGCAGGAATGACACTAGCAACACTGTAAAAGACACAGCTGTTGCCGCCAACACTTTCCTCTGTGTGTTATGTACATGTTAGCGTAGGGAGCCAACATGTTCATGAGTCACATAAAGTTGTATTTACAGTTTGATTCTACAAGGGAGGAGAAATAAACAGGTGGCAATACATAGATGTACGAGCAAGGTGATGCAGTGGAATTATGCACTAGCTTCCCACTTGTGTGGAGCCCTATCTATCTATCCGTATCTAAAAGCTGGTGTGGAGAATAGCGGAATGATCTCATCATTGAAACCCAATCAAAAAGTCACCACAAAGTTAGGGATGATAGATGGCCTGTCTCCAAGCCTGTAAATGGAACGGCATGGTTGCAATGTCACAATTGTGCTCCGTTGCTGGCGTGCTCCTGGAAAGCCCACACGTTGCCTCCCATCCACTGATGACGGTTCAGAGAAGAAGCAAGCTCATGGGGCTTGAGAAGCCCTGGGTGTTCTGGGTATCCAGCTGGGATGTATACAAATGTGGTTTTGGACCTGTGCGTGTCCTCAGTTTTGTAGCAGCTGATGGTCGCACAGAATGCCATAAGCCATATTAAGCAGATTGGTTGTACTTGCTCCCATCTTTAGACTTCAGGTGCTATGCAGCTATAAGCATCGCACAAGCAATGAGATAAAAAAGGGTGAAAAACATCCTGGTGAAAAGAGATTAAATAATTTTTAATTATTTCAAAGATTTTTTTGGTTCAGAAAAATAGTCCAGGGTAAGTGACAAGATTAAAAATCAAGCCTCTCCCCAGGGGAGTTTTGACTGTGAGACCTGTGTTAGAACAGCTTTAGTTTTCTGTAAGCGTGCACGGTTTCTGCTAGAGTTTGAGAACTTTTAGAATTTGAGAAAGGATGTAATGTGTGAAATCTTCATCATTTGTGATTAGACCTGGAGCGATGTAGAGCTCGATCCTGTAGAGCCAGCTCACAAGAAACTGCAGCCTCGCCGAAGCCATTCTTTCTCAACAAGTGCGAGACAGTGGAAGAGAGACCTGCTCCCAAAGACCTGCAGCTGTGATGCAGCAACTGCAGAAAAGGTAAAGAAAAAAGTCTCTGCTGGGGACTCTCCATTTTACCGTTAATCTTGCTACAGTATGTCATCTCTGGAATAATAATTCAGCCTTTATACTGATCTCTTTCATCTGTAGGCTTTATTTATACTGATCCCAATGCCCTCTTCAGCCTTGCTGTTCTTTTTTTGTGACTAATAAGAATGTCAGTAATGCCTTATTAACTTTTTTCACTGATATGTTGCCTGTTTTTGGAAAGCCAGCATCAGCTCATAGCTCTAAAGCTGCATTAAAGCACAGTCAGTAGCATCAAATGTAAGAAGCTGACTTCTTTCCCTCTTCGCGTGTTTATCTACCCCAGCTCCGGTTCCTCCCATCCTGACCCTCGTATCTACATTGTGGCAGCCTCCTTTTATTATAAAGTCAGGGCTGCAAAACAGAGTTTGACATGATAGAAGCCACCCTTTTTCCTTTTTCCAGTGTACATTAAAATCTTTTATTTTTGTTGAGGGGGAAGATGAGAAAGAAACTCCCATTTCTCCCTAAGGGTGGGAGAGTCTGGCAGCTGCCACCCTTCCCTCACTGAAAGAGGAGATGGTGAGTACTCAGCGCATCTTCTGTGGATGCATCACACTCATTGCCCAAACCACTGAGGTTTGGTGTCATGCGGTTAGGGATCACTCCGTTCCCTGAGGAACTGCTGAGGATGGGAGCAGTAGGTCACCCGTGAGTCAGCTTCTGCCAGAACCATATCACCAGTTGCAAAACAAGTATTTGTATGGGTGGCACAATGTCAAGCATATATTGGTGCTGCATTTTCAAGAAAAGAAAGGACTTACAATCCCCTGCCTGTGGTTGGACTGAGTAGCACCCACTTTTTGATGGAGGCACCCTTTCATGGGGTTACTCTAGTGTGTGTAGCCAAACACCCGCACCTTGGGCAGCTACAGCATCTGCTTCTGTCCCCTGTGCTCCCCTCCAGCTCTGAGGCTAACTGTCTAGAGACAGTGTAGTTTAAAGCAGGAGCTGTTCTGGAAATTTCCAGCCATCCGGTGACCTGGTTCCTGCACGCATCTGCCCTGTATTCTTTCATGTGTCTCCTTAAGATAAAGTCCTGAGAAACGCTGGTCTGTCTTTTCCTGTAACTGTTGTGAATAGTATTGATGGAAAAACAATGGCTTCAAATGTGGTGGCAGGCAACATGGGCTCAAATCTACCACCCACCTCTGCTGCCCTCCGTCAGTAGCCCAGTGTGTCCAAGGTTGTAGGCAAGTGGCAAAGACAGGAGATTGTCTCCAGGTGCTGGAGAACCACCGGTTTTCAGTCTCACAAGGAAGTAGAAAGAAAATAAGTCTGAGGTGGTTGCATAAAAGTGTTCAGTAATACAATACATATTTCTGTATTCTGCGATTTGGTAACTGTGTAGCCCACAAAAAGGCTCAGACACTATACTCTGTCTTTGAAAGACATCTGTTAGATTATTTTGATAAATAACCTTTAAACAGAGTACCTTCATGCTGAGGCTTTCAGTGGTGTTCACAGAGATGTGTGGAGTTTATTTACATTGAATGTTTAAAGCCTCATTTTCTTTTCTTAATATTTTCAGCTAAGATTCCTGTGTGGTGTGAAGCTCCTTTGTGTGTTAGCTAAATGCATGAATATTCATTCTATCAGAATAAATATTTATTTGTCCAGATCAGTTAGAGTGTTTTGCTATAAGGCCACCCATTTATCCTTAAAAAAAACCCCAACCAACCCTAAAGAAACCACACTGCGTTTTTAGATATTTATTTTAAGGTTTTAATAGCATTACTGGATTGTCTATGACTGAATTCCAGTTACGGCACTTCCAGAAATATTCACCTATGGAAATACAAGTGTGAATTTGGTGAAGGGTCACCTAACTTTTTGATTTAACAAGATATGATGATTATTTTTTTTAGGAAAAGAATCTTACGCTTCCTTCGCTTTCTTTAAGAAGACCACCTCAACAACATCTAAAAAATTTATATACCTTTAAATTCTTTTCACTGACTGAGATCAGGTCTCCTTAATCTCATAAAGTTGCAGACAGGTTGTCAAAAGAGAAAAGTCATCCCTCAAGTGAAAGTAAAAAAGCCAATCAGTGTCCTGGGCTTGGTGCTTTCCAGAGCATAAAAACACACGGGACTGCTTTCTATGCTGGCACAAAGATATGATCCAGCCCCGTGACTTATTGTAGTTAGTTAGGATGGTGACAGACTTGATGTAGACTGACACCTGGAAACCTGGCGTGGCAGTGAAGAGGCCTTTTTTGGACGCATTAAAATGCAGGCATGTATTATGAGGATAAGATAGGTTTGGATACTTGATTTCAAAGGAGAGTTGCCAAGTGTGCTCTGTGCATCCAGCTTTTGTGTCAAGGGAATTGCCCAGCGTGAAAACAATTTAAAAAAACTTAGAAGTGGTGTCCTGCCCACTAAGCTGTATCCAAAAGAAACCTGTCCTTCTGCTGCTGTGAAAACAGCACTTGAAGCAGGGAGGAGTGGTTTTAGGTTTTGGGTTTTTTCATTCTATTGTTGTCATCGGTTTGGAAGAACAGATTTTTCTTCTCTGTCACATTGATTTAAACCACTTTTTTTAGCACATTGTGCTTCCCTCCACTTGGGTAGGTACAGTGGCTGGAGAAATCGTTATCGATAGGGATTGGTAAATGATTCTTACTTGTGGAGTAGAATTACATTATGCTGCAGTATATACCAGTATCTAATTTTAAACCCAGACTGACAGAGAGCCCAGGGGGGAGAGAGAGACCAAAAATTCTGGTGGTGGTTTGTTTGTTTTTTTTTTTTAAAAAAACCACACCGAACAATTTGTGTGAAAAACAAATGTGTGTTTGGTTTTCTGTTTGTAAAATCAGACTAGACCTATGCTCTGCAATAACATTCTGCCAAACTACTTGCTAAGACTGAGGAGATGACCCCTAAATCTTAAAAAACAAAACCAAAAACAACAACAACAACAAAAACTAAAAAACCTTTCCCTTTTTGACTTAAGGAACTATTTAGTTTGTCAGTATAAAGGCAGTATCACAGGCCATGGACTAGGTGGAGACAAAAGGGGCCAAGATTACAGCCCCTGCTGGGCTGTAATCATGCTAGAAACTGATCTAATATTTTAAAAAGATGTTTCAGCACCAAACCCCTATAAATCCATGGGAATTACATGCCTGAGTGCTTCAAGAAGACTAAAGTTGAATTAATGAGGTTTATGACTGGAACAGGGATATCTGAATAGAGGAAAAAATTTACAAAACTATTATGGGAAGCTCAAGCTATGAAGAGATTCAGTGTAGCTAATTATTACACTTTACAATCATATTAAGAGAAACAAATAGAACTATAACTCTGAAAGATGCTTTGTAACAATTTGAGTAAATCTTAGTTGTACTCTGAATTCCATTAGGCTTCATAACAATGAAGTAAAAACTGCATTTTACTTTAAATGTTGATTTTTTTTTAAATTTTTTTAATTTTTTTTTTCCCCAGGAAGGAGGGACTTCTAACTTCTCTCTATATCTGGCACAGTGATTTTATAACCTTAGCTGGCATTTTCTAAAGCAAGCCAAAATTGATCACTCGTGCCTTCCATTGCCAGTGTATTTAAATATTAACTAACACTTTCAAAGCTTACTTAGTTTACTCTGGTTTTGCATACTGTGCATGAAGAGTTATGGAAAGGTCATAGGGGAGTTGCCATCAGGGCCAGGTTAGAAATTAGAGTTCTCTCAAAATAGGCAGATGGGAAATGGTTAGCAAAGCAAAATCATGGTCATCGTTTTTCCCTCTTTGTTGGTGGAAATGCATATGAATGCAAAGCCACCAACTGCCCCAAGGCAGTACCAGGAGCCATTTGGGGGCACCATGATAGATTGTCACAAGGATGATGAAACTTTAGGCAAACAAAGAATACAGTGTGCTTGAGTCTTATCTGAGATCTCTTCCATGAGAGAGGGAAGTACAATTATTCAGTACCTTGAGATGTGTTAAAAATTGAGAATTTTTTTTTAAACATAAAATAAGTCAGATACAGGAATGGGCTTTTCTTCTGTTTTTCTTTTTGGCCTCTGCTGATATTTGAGCATGTCATCTTTTGCTTCATTTAACATCCTGCTTTCCAAGCTATGGATGTTAACACATAGTGATTTTCCCTCTTTCTAGTCAATGATTCAAGTGTTTAGAAAATATGACTGGTGACTCAAATAGCAGCTAGTGGAAATGAATTTCAAATACCGGTTTCCATAGTCATATGCTGTATGACAACACTAAAGCTTATGTCTCCGCTCTAGGTTTCACTCTCATCCAGCTGTTTGGAGAAGGTGCTTGGGCGGTCGGTCCCACGCAGTCCTCCTGCAACACTCGTGACCAGCTCCCTAAAAGCAGCGTCTCTGCCTGTTGGTTTGAATAGCAGCAGTGTCAGCAGAGGAGGAGACTCAGACGCTTCACAGGTGGCAACTCAAGAAAGTCAAGTTAACGGAGTCCTGGGCTCTATCATTAGCAATACAATCCCTCGCATCGTCATCATTCCTACCTCAGAGACCAACCTATTTCGAGAGGAACTGGAAGAGGAAGAGACTGAATTATTCCACTTTCATGACAAAAAGGGCAATCTGCTGGACTTGGAAGGGCTTAGCTCGTCCACAGAGTTCCTTGAAGCTGTTGAGAAATTTCTATCATAAGTTTGTCAAAAGAAAACTTTCCGGTAATTATTTTCTTGGCATCTTCTCCACTTAATTATACCAAATAACCAAAGCCTTGTAGGTTAGATCACCAGACTTTTTGTATGTTTTTATGGTAGTCACTAGGCAGCCTTCAGATTTATCTTTGTCCAGACCAGCTCAGGCATGGAAACAGGCTTTCTTTCAGATTGTGCTGCAGGAAATGAGCAGGGGAAGATCTGGCAGCGTGATCGAGTGGCATTGGTTGAGTCGGCTGCCTGCTTCATGGGGCCCTGATTTGTAACCACAGACGGAGGTGCCAGCAGAAGGAAAAATGACTGAGTGAGAGCAGGGGCAGCTGCTGAATGTTTCTGCTACCTGCACATGAAAGAGCGTTCCTGTTCTGGCAGCTCTCTTCTTGGGGCGCTTCCCATCACAGTCCAGACCAGAGCTTCCACCAGCCCCAGTGGTAATGCAGACAGCTAGACGATCTGAACTATCTTTTAATCAAATTATTTTCAGCATTGGTTTTGTTTTGTTGATTGTTTGGGTTTTTTTTAAATAGGCAGCTTGCTAAATGTAAATAAACAAACTGATGGTGTAACTGGGAAGTGACTGCTTGCTTTTAAAGTTTAGTGCTGGAAGTCTGGATTTTCTTGTTCTGCTGATCCAAAAAAACAGATGGAAAGATGGAAAGCTTAGAAGTATTTTTTTAAATTATTTTTTTAATTACAAAAGAAGATAACACAAATCTTGTTTGCAACTAGCTAGACAGGAACACCACTGAAGAACAAACTAAACCCCAAAGCAGCGCAGGAGAGAGAGGAATGCCTCCAAATTCACAGACCTGAGGCTTTGCAGGGTGTCAGCGTGGCAGACCTTTGAGAGGACAGAGACACTTGCTTTTGGTATGGGCTCTGTTATTTTTAGGAAAAAAAACAAACCTCTGGTGAGTTACTGAGGTGGTTGCTGAGATGGGCTGCCTATTGCAATGCTAACACTCTTACAGCTGCTGTTATTTGAGGCACTCCGCTGTCTAGAGACCTTCATCAGAAACAAGGCCAACACACCTCCTTGCCCTGTGGGAAGGGGGGAAAAGGGTGGTGGAGCCACGTCACGCATGTGGTTGTCTGTGTGCAGCCCCGGTGCGTGGTTCTGGGTGCCAGGGCTCAGCTGGGGCAGCACCACGCTGCGGTACCCACAGCCGGGCTGCTGAAGGCCGTGCCCACCAGGTGCCGGGTTTTCTACTGGGGCCAGGCATCATGCCAAGGTTGTCTGCAATCAGCTCGGCATTTCCAAAGGCAATTCCTCCATTCGAGGACTGGTGCAGTGAGCAGGCAGCATGGGGCAGCTGCCGGGGACTGGGACAGGGACATGCTCGCCTGCAGCTCCTCGGTGCCAGGCTTTCATCCAGTGTGTGGTTTTGGCCACAATGAGTAATCAAATGTTAATTAAATACAATATTCAGGGAAAATGGGGGAGGCTTAATCTTAGGTTAAACATATTGTCCTGCTATCTCTGATTCTTTTCACTTTTTTGCTGAATCTGTCCTCTCTAATTTGGGTTTTTTCCCCTACATCAACTGTGCAGTCAGTGACCTTACTTCTTCTTGCATTTAATATCCTCAGCTGTTGTATCTCCTTTCTTCTCGAGCCAGATGTTGGGAAGCAAGTGTTCTTACAAGCCTTCCAAGTCTTATACCTGACTTTTACTGTTGTAATTACTCCAAATAACAATAAGAAAATGCATTCGGTGTTCCAAGATATAAAAACATGCCCTGGAGCAGATTTTGCACTCAGATGTTGACAGACTTGTACTGGTAAGACTGTAGGCAGGATATTGCTATAGTTTCCGACAGGATGAAGAAAGTAAGACCTAAAGTAACAGTCAACAACCTCCTCTGTATCCAGATGAAGTTTTGCATTCTACTTGTTAGCCTACAAGATGACTTTCCAGTGATCTCTTGCATATGTGCTGGTACTAATAAAGTGTCTCAGAAAACTAGTGGGCTTGAGGTATGTGCAAAGAAGTGTTTCATTTTTATACTGTTAATGTAATATGCTATTAGTACCATTGCTTCTGAAGCTACTGTCAAGATTACTGTTTACTTCAACTGACATAGGCTAGAATGCCAAATGAGATAGCAGTAGAGAAATAAAACAAAGTTGTATGAAATATCAGATAGACTTATTACATTCACTGTGAGACTTTTGCAGAAACATCAGTCACAGAGTAAATGAATCTTAAATTGACTACCACAATGCAGAAAAACTTCGCAAACTTCTCTGTTGCCACTTTAGAATAGATGGCACATAAAAATGTACAATATTAACTGTTGCTTCCCATTTCACAAAGGAATGTATTGGTTCACTCAAATGGAATAAAAAACTCTCAGCAGTTAAAATAAACTATTCATTGTTTGTTTTTCTTATTTAATCATTAATTTCAGAAGCCAGGAGGAGGAACAAAAAAGTTGAGTCAAAGCTTTTGAAACCTGTGCTCTGATCCAGCGAATAGTGAGGTACATACGTAACTTTATTTACATGAGCAGCTCCTTTCAAGTCATTTACACTGCTCACATGCAACCAAGCACTTGCCTACTTGAGTGCGGAGCATCTAAAATTAGAGTTCACCGACTTGGTAAAATCTGAAGTTGCTCAGCAACTTTTGAAATACAATGACTTCAACTGGGATGTCAGGAATCAGGTGAACAAAATTGAAAAAAAATTAACCAAAATCAATACATTAGAACTGTGACAGCAGTCTTTCTTTGATCTTTGTCCTAAATCTGAATGACAGTTAACCACCCATTATTTGTTTCTGCTAAATCTTTGTATAGCACAGTTATAGGAAATGTTCCAGTTTTCATGAGTAACAGAAAGTTCAGACCACAAGTGTAAACATTTTCTTTTACCATGGACAATGAATTTATTTTTTACAGTTAAATCAAGGGTTAGATAAAGGTTTCAAATAAGAAGGAAAAAATTACTTACTTGAATCTTAATGAATCTTGCTGCCTTGGGTTGGTATTAAGCAGGACCGATACCATTTTCTTCCAGAAAGCTCATTCAGTTCCCAGACATCTATCCATTTCCCTCCTTTCAGGAGACACCCCTGAACAAGAAAATCCTTCCACTCTGCTGTCTGGAAAATGTTTATGTTCCAAGGTGTCATGTGATGCGCAAAACTGGAAAATACTGGGAGACAAATAACCTCTTTTTTAATTTCCTTACTCTTCTTCCCCCCCCCCCCACCTCTTTTTTACAGCTGCTCTTTACTGATTCCCTGTGTAGGTTATCCTTGCTATTTTTTGTGTGGTTCTTTCACAAATACATGAAAGCCATGCAAGCTAGTGGGGAACTGTGTATTATGCAGTGTTCTAAGTGTGGACTCCTTTCTCACAT